GTCCGATTTGGCAGATTTTATAGAGTTTATATTATGTCATATTAAGAGTCAGTATTACTTTTATATGGAAAGGTGGGCAAGATATCGTCAATTACATAGAAGACTCCTGACAATTACAGTTGCAAAAGAGAGAGACCTAGAAAACGCTTATGAGATGACCTGTTCGTCAATGAATACAATTAGATGGACTGAGTGAGATACGTGTATGGAAACAGGAGAACATGTTCGATCAGAGGTAGGTTAGAAAAAAAAAGAACTACTTATTAGTGATGCAGAAAATAGATACTAACAGACGATTTTAATATAAATATGCCTTTATTTCTCTAGTTATTAGGTGTCCGTGTGTGCTTATTAGACATCCGTTTATATTCGTAGCTATGTAACGTCCGTATATTGTTATCTGATTGTAATGATGACCGTCTATAGATATCAGGTGACCGTATTTTATTGCTGTCTAATTTTTTTCTAATTTACCAAAATTCTTCCTGTATGTTTATAGTTTATTGATACAATATGTTTGAGGTTTCTTACCTGGTAGAACTACTACTACACTAAGGGAAAGGACTACGATCTTACAGAATACTAGCGTAAAGTAGCAGCTTAATGCTGCTGTGCATTATTGGGCCCGATTATGTTCTAATATTTAAAGTTTGCATTCCATCTTAGTCCTCACGGGTGACAACACATCTGCATTTTGATTCGTAATCGAGGATAGATGTAGATGTCTATGGGCCACAGCAACCACTTACCATCAGGTGGACTGTGTGCTCGATTGTCACCCTATCCTATAAAAAAAAAAAGTTAAAAAAATTATTTGTGTTTTGTAGGTGGCATTTTTTTGTTATGATTATGCTACTCCTTTGATTTTGTCTTCCAAATTCAAGTTTTTATAAACAGTTCCAGCAGTTTGTGTGTCTACCTCTTTATTTTTTCGAAGAGAGTTCCGTAACGAACTGCGAATATGAATGGACGCTATACCCTTACGACGACAACACTATGCAAAGGCAATCGACAACGATTTACCTAATAGAAATTGCAACTGCCGCCGATAAACGATAATCTGTAACGATTTGTTATACACACGATCGATAAATCTTTGCAATTTGGTTCGCACATATTAATCGCACCATATGACGTCACCCTTGTGTTAAGACTACCACTACTAATTGATAGGTTCCTTTCCTTCCTAGAAATTCTTCTGGGTAGGTGCCACCTTCTGAATTATTTTAAACACTTCCTCAATCTATAAGGTGAGGTTGCAGAATGGCAAAACATCTCAGGATACGTGCCAAACTATCTGTACATAAATATTATATAACAAGTAAAGCAACAAGAAGCAGTTTACTGTCGCTTGCGACTGACTAGTGGTGGGGTATGGAGGGTAAAGTTAGCCATGTGGTGTTCCGGTATGAAGGGTAAAGTTGGCTGGTATAATTACAGGGTGAGAGGCATTCCAGCTTAATTATAGGTGGGGACAACGCGTCTGTAGTCTTCTTTGTCCGAAACCGGTTCTAGGTGTCAGTACATATCAGTAACCACTTACTTTATAATTATTTTTTTCTTTTTCAATTTACTATATATTTATAAATAGAATAAAACTAAGACTGCAGTCTTTTCCATATAAAACTCAATAATAATAAGTAAACTGCGTTTGCTAACCCGTCTACAAAGCACATCAGCTATGGCAAATATGTTCTAGAGAGCTTGTGTTCAGTTTTGGACATTTGATAGGATGTGATGCATAATTAATGAACATCTTAGTATATATGCAAGTACTAAAATATGTTAATCGATCTCATAATGTGACTTGACCCCAATTCAGCATAAATCTAACACTTATCCAGATTGTTTTTATCCCACACGTGTCTTATAAGTCGGTGTTTGATAGACTGTAGTAACGAGAACCTTTTATTCGATTTCATTATCATTAACTGCTTCGTTCGGTCGGAAAATAGTTAATAAATCGTTTGCTAACTATGCAACTTTGTTACATTTTATATCTCAGTTTATATCGCATTTACAACGGAAAGTGTTCTGAGGAATTGTTGGGATTAATTTCGGCCGCCAAATTCCATCAACACAAACGTGATAACATGGTATAGCTACGCTGCAGCTGTATTAAGGTTGTAGCACGAATGAGTCGGCTAGACGTAGGAAGGACAATCCTCTTACAGTATACCAACATGAAATAGTACCTTAGTGCTGCTGTGTTTTGTAGGTGAGTGTAGAGAACTGGAGAAACTTTTTGCTGTATTTATCTTTAATTAAAGTTCAAAGTATATATACGTTACAAGATTAGAATGCCTCGTAACAAAGAGTCTCTGGTTCTCTACACTCACCTTACAAAACACAGCATTATTTGCTATTTCACGCGGATATTATGTGAGAGCGTGGTCCTACGCTGGTCGAGCAGACCCGTTCGTGTTGCAGTTATAGGTAGAGTGGCTACAGCGTGGCTCCACCACGTAAAAATCATGATCGTCATTAAAGTAGCAACACATATACATCCAATTCAGCATTAAAATTATAAAACTAAACTGCTTTCGCTTGTTGTTGGAGACAATAAATGAGATAAATATTAAATAATTACAATCCAAGTGTTTTCAAAAGTGAATAGGCGTTTGCTAAGATAAGTCAGTGCACTTTACTCTTTTTATCGTTCACATCATCGTTCATCATCATCATCATCGTTGGCTAAACACTGATAATTTACAAATTTTTTATCATCATTATTTCAGTAAATCATAGAACTTGCTTCATATATCGATGGGTATTGTTTTTCATTGTGTATATACTATACTATGTAATATTAACTTTGACAAAGGACAAAATTGATGATACATGTGGAGTTGTTTCCGTAGTCTGTTATCACGCTGGAGAAAACTCCACATTCCTCTCGTGACCATGAGCTACCGAAACGTCGGAAATTACAAATATTCTTTTATATAAATATAATATATATTTTATTAATGTTAATATTAAAGTAATTACACTCCCAAAATGATCGAGTAGTTAAACGTAAATAAAAAACCACTCCTCAAATTAATGACGTAACTCAAGCTGATATCACATAGTATCTTGATGCTTACGTAACAAAGTTTACTCGAGCTACTCTCAGTAATGCTATTTGCGTTACATTTATTCGGAGAATATTATTTTCTTTCTTTTTTCTCTACGTTCGCGTTCTGTTATACAAACGACTCACACTGTTATATATAATCAATGGCATCAGTAAGAATCTACCCAATATAACGGAATTTGGAAAGGAAATGCTATTTTGTTTATATTAGGAGTTGAAAATATCTTTATATATTATGTCGTAGTAGCTTTTCAGTTTACAGCCTAGACATTACATGGCATGGCCACCTTTTTAATTTCATTCAATGAGTCCGTCATTGGTCTGTGCCTAATTAGTGCTCTGTGCTATATAATATAAATGTACAGAATAAACTCGATTATCCGGCCCTAAGTTATACGGATTCGCGATTATCCGGACTATCAACCGCGACCAATTAAATAATTAAGTCATATTGAGCCAAGTTACAAAGTACGATATGTAGTACATAAGTTAACATATGTACTACATATCGAATTTATACAAGCATGAACGTGTCGGTACCGGCATTACCCCGACCGCGCCCTGCGGGATCGGGTTTCGTAACAACAATAACTAAAACAATAACAAAATTTTGTTATTGTTTTAGTTAGCTAGCAATTGTTACTCCGCTCTGACGTGCGTGTCTAGTCTAAATATTTAAAAATGTCAAAGCGTAAGAGAGTGGTGTTATCGCTTAAAGACAAAATAAATTTTATTGATTCATTAAAAAAAGGAGAAACTGGTGGTAAGTTAGCTGATAAGTATGGTATAGGTACATCCACAATAAGTGATATTAAGAAAAATGCCGATTCAATTTTGTTGTACACTTGCAAATTAGATAGTGAAGACGAGAGTAAACATCGGAAAATGATGAAGAAACCGAAAAACGAACTTTTGGAAGACGCTTTGTATTGTTGGTTTTTACGAAAAACGATCAACTGGGCAAATGATATCTGGCCCTTTGCTTTGTGAAAAAGCATTACAGTTAAATAAAAAATTAGGTGGCGGCGGCTCGTTGTTCGCAAGTAACGGATGGTTATATAGATTTAAAACTCGTCATGAAATTCGTGAATTAGAAATACAAGGTGAAAAAATGTCAGCTAATGTAGACGCAACAAACTCCTTTAACGATGATTTTAAGAATAAATTTGATGAAAATAACTATGACTTGGATTTCGTTTATAATGCTGATGAAACCGGATTAAACTGGAAATCATTCCCTTTAGCTTCTAGGCGAGAGAATTCAGCTCCAGGATATAAAACTAGCAAAGAACGAATAGCAATATTAGTTTGCGCTAACGCTACCGGGACCCATAAAATACCTTTGCTCCTCATTGGAAAATCAAAAAAACCTAGATGTTTTAAAAATATCAGGGTGCCCTTAATTTATAAAAATCAAAAAAGCGCATGGATGAACTCTGAAATATTCATTGATTGGTATGACAACACTTTTATCCCTGAAGTAAAAAAAGACAAAACGAAATTGGCAAACAAGGAAATGTATTACTTTTACTGGATAATGCGCCAACCCATCCTTCGGCTGAACTGTTGGAAAGAGAAAATGGAAAGTTTAAAGTAAAATTTTTGCCTCCTAATGTGACATCCTTGCTGCAACCAATGGATCAAAGTATTATTGAAACATTAAAACGACTTTATAGAAAACAACTTTTACGAAGGTTGTTATCTGTTGATGAAGATAATGTAGAAGTCGTTTTATCATTTTTTAAAGAGAGTTGTAGATACGTGGGATTTGATTGAAAAGAAAACTTTAAACAAGGCTTGGAACAAAGTACTTAATCGGGAGAATGAAAATTTAATAACCAATACGGATGATTCTATTTTGGAGGATATAAATGAGCTAATGTTAAAGATAAAAATATGACAGAATTGTGATGAAGATGATATGAAAGAATGGATCACTTGTAACAGTAATGATCAAGGCTTTCAGATTATGTCGGATGAAGAAATCGTAGAAAACATATTGCAGATAAATGAACAGCAGGAAATGCAAGAAGATGAAACAGAAGAAAATATAGACAAGGAAAATGATGCAGGAACATCTCATGATGAAGCACTTCAGGCCCTAAAAACGGCTCTCAAGTGGTTTGAAAAACAAACAGAGAGTGATACTGTGAGTTTACTACAGCTCAAACGAATTCGTGATATAGCAGCAATAAAGAGAAAAAGTGGCTTACGTCAAATGACAATTACCAAATATTTTAAACGAAATTAAACTTATTATTTTATTTCATAATTACCAAATACAAATTATCAAATACACATTCTAAACAAATTATACGTACATACGTATATATATATATATATATATATATATATATATATATATATATATATATATATATATATATATATATATATTATTTGATAATTGAGGCTGCAGTATTTTAGTATTTATGTGTGTAATCTAAGAAAATATGTATGTACACAAATAAGTAAAGTGTTGTATATTAAAAAATGTATCGCTTAATAATTTCTTAATAAACATTGATTTTCGTTGATATTGTTGTTTTTAATAAACACATAACATTATGTATGTATGTACTACAAATACACAAAACCCACTTTCCTTCATACATTCGATTATCCGGATTTTCGATTATCCGAATCCCTAACGGCAACAATTAGTCCGGTTAATCGAGTTTCCACTGTACTCGGCTTTAAGGTGTCCCATGGGCCTCGTAAACCGTACCATAACCTACTGTCGCTGATATTACAAGGTATGTGCAATACTGTCTTAGACGCATAATAAAATTTGAGTGTTAACTGAAAGGCTATTAAGCTACGACTTATACTATTTAATGTAGTATGAAATCGCAAGTAAGGGTTGGAAGGTTGTCGTGATCCATATATTCTATAAAAAGTAAGGACAATGTATCTTTGTCTAATAAGTCATAATTCAAAGAAATAACGTTTAAACTAGTTGATCTGCGAGATGGATCAAAGAAAACATTTTCTTAAAGTTCCAAAAACAATGTTAACGCATTAAAGTAATAACAATAATAATGTAAAAATAAGGTGTGATTTATAGCGTATATGACTTTAAAAGAAGTTGTCAACTTCATAGGAGAGATAGAAAGTTCGACATTATCGGGAATTACTCGATTAAAGATAATCTCAAACTCGATTCACTCGAACACGAATGAAAATTTGTCTTTAAATCGAGAACGGTTTGTTCAAGTATCCCGAATAACAGAATCTTTTTGTTTTTGAGAAAGTTGAGTGGCGTAATATAGTTGGGTTATAGGCAGCTCCTACATCCGAACACGCAAATGTAATATTTAATTCGAGTTAGTATTTACCAGTATTTTTAGATTTGGTCATGGGACTGTCATCGTTACCCTGTATATGAAAGATACAAATTTAGGTACCTAATGTAAAAAATGCACGATGCATAGACTAATCAAATAGAAGCACATGCTTTTTAATTATATTATAAGGGTCCTGTTTTTTTAATTCTACTAGGCTGCACAAAAAGTATCGGGAATGGAATATTTCCACTGTTCCTGTCAAATTAAAATCGTTTTAATTGAAAACTCCTTGGTTTTAAAAATCGAATACCATTTATTTATTTAAAAAAGATTCTCGGTCTTGCACAAGGTTTTGTCAAACTTGTTTAGTCGTTGAAAAAAATGGAATTGACTCGAGAAAATTTAAGAGCGATGATTTATTATGACTTTCTAATTAGTTTAATACAAAAACAGTGAGTTGACCGGATGATTTCTGCATTTGGTGATGAAGCCCCATCCAAAACCACAATTTATTGCTGATTTGCTGAATTTCAACGTGGACGTGTCAAGCTCAGTGATGATCCCCGTCAAGGTCGTCCAAAAACTGCAGTCACCCAAGAAAACCTTGATGCTGTGCGTAAGCTGATTGAGGAAGATCGACATGTAACATACCGTGAAATTTAGGCAATTTTAGACATTGGTATGGTATAAAAATAATCTTGCATGAACAATTAGGTGTAAAAAAGTTGTTTTCCCGATGGATACCGCATTCGCTGTGTGAAGATCAAAAAGCGGGTCGCGTTACTTGATGCGTCAGAACTCTCGAAAGATTCCACGCAGGATCCTCAAATGCTGTATACAACATCGCATCATGTCACGAATCCTGGATATATGCGTACGAACTCGAAACAAAAAGCCAGTCACGAGTTTGGGTGTACGAAAATGAGTTAAAGCCAACAAAAATTGTTCGTTCACGGAGTGTTGCAAGAAAAATGGTGGCCACGTTTGTCTCCAAAACCGGCCATATTACGACTATTCCTATGGAGGGACAAAGAATGGTATGCTAGTATCTGTTTGCCACAGGTCGTTTCCGAGCTCCGTAAAGAAAATAGCAACCGCCGCATCATCCTCCATCACGACAATGCGAGTTCTCACGCTGTACACAGAACAAAAGAGTTTTTAGAGCAATCAAACATATAATTATTATAATTATTAGACCATCCGCCGTACAGCTCCGACCTAAGCCCTAATGATTTCTATACTTTCCCTAAAATAAAGAATAAATTGCGTGGACAGAGACTTTCATCACCTGAAGAAGCTGTGGACGCTTAAAAAACGGCCATTTTGGAAACCCCAACTTCCGAATGGAATGGTTGCTTCAATGATTGGTTCCATCGTATGGAAAATGCCTCAAATTTCGCGGAATACTTCGAAAAGCAATAAATACATTTTTAAATAGTAATGTTGCGTCACTTCCTTGATTCCCGAAATTTTCAGTGCCGCCCTCGTAATTAAGAACACATTTGCACTAATTTGTTATCAATTACAACGTTGTCAATATTAACACGAGCCCGTCGTGTGACGACAAACACTAATTAACTTTGGACTCTCCCCTCAATACGATAAACAGTTTTGTAATAGATTAGGTTATATGTGTTAGTATGTAAATGATCTACGTGGCAAAGCGACGCTGCAGCTTACATTATTACTGCGAATGAGGCTTTTCATTTTAGTCCTCAAGGGTAACAAAGCATCTGCATTTTGATTCTTAACTGAGGATGATATATAGATGTCATGAAAAAGTAAATTTAAAATCTATAAGACGCAGTTTTCGATTTAATACGGTTCTAAGCTTTATCAAAACCAATGCAGGATCTCTATTTAATTCTGCTACAAATAAAAAAGTGGTCATGAAATTTGAACGTGTTTGATTTGATTAATTGCTTGCAGTATAAACTTTGCAACCATTTTAATTTTACTGCGTACTTTAAAATTTTAAATACTTTTTTTATTGCACGTTTACTTTGTTAAGTTATTATACAATAATAAATATTATTATAAATATATATTTTTGAATGACTAACGATGCACCGCTTTGCGATTCAAAAGAAGCTTTCTTCCTCGCACAACTTTGTTGTGGAATCGACTACCACCAGAGATTTTTCTGAACCGATACGACTAAGGGACCTTAAAGTAAATACTCCTTTTTTAAAAGGCTGGCAACACACGTTTCCACTGTTTCGTTTTCACTGGCGATTTTTCCGGACTGATACGACCTAGGGACCTTCAAGACAAGAGCTTACTACTTTCTAAGGGGCCGGCAGCGCACCTGTAATTCTTCCATTTATTCATACATTCATTATAGCCTATCAAAGTCCACTGTTGAACATCGGCCTTATCCATAGATTACCTCATAAGGGACATATTTGCCTTAGTGATAGGCGGGATTACAACTGGACTTTTTATTGAGTTGTTATATTAGGAAGATGCTGCTGCCTATACCCTGTTTCAATTCCCTTTGTTGCTTCTTACGACACCCGCGGGATGATACAGATTCTCTTAAGCTACCACTGCACAGTCAATACATGCATAAGTACGTGTCCATCTTTACTAAGTACTTCGCAACAGCTCTATCCAATTTCTGAGTAAAACTACAAAATGAGAAAAAATGACGGCAAACGAAAAGACAGTCTACCTGATGGTAATTGAATATTGTGGCCCATGGACGTATATACCTATCCTGGATTAATCAAAATGCTTTGTCACCCTTGGGAAATAAGTAAAACGCCTTTTTTCCCTGTAAAATACAATACGAAACACAGCAGCATTAAACTGATATTTCAAGGTAAACTTACCCATTCGTATGCAGAATGGTTACTGTAGCCCATGGACACCTGAAACCAACTTCATATAAATACGGCCACAGATACGTCGTCCCTCAGATATCTAAGATGGAATGTCTCACAGCCTGTTATTGTAATGTCTACATAGAGTTCAGATCGGAACGTAGCAGTGTGTACAGAACTGGGTAAGAGAGTGGGAACTAACCACACAAACGAAGCGACAGTAGCCTAATGGCAGGGCGCGGACCGCGAACTCAAAAAAGGTCGTGGGTTTGAATCCGCTATTCGACTTCTGGCGTGAACCACTCGTAACACAAGCAATTTAAGCTTACCACGAGTGGTTAAGGGGGGGAATATTAGTAATGTTTATAGCATTGTTAATATTCTTTTTCTTTATAAAAAAACGCCTGATTTCCCTTATTGCACGAGACTCGTATCCAGCAGTGAAAGTTAACGGGCTAAAACACTAGAAGATTATGCTTGAACACATTACCAACTTGGAATATTTCCAATCGGTTCTTACGACAAATTCAGAAAGAACTTATACAAAACAGAGAGTTTCTTGCTCAGACATAAGCTTTCACTAATCACTAAGGAATATCAGTTTACAATATCAATTTATACAAGTTATTTGAACCCAAAGATCGTTAAGCAAGAAGGAAAACAATCAACTGCCTTAAATATCTAAAATTACGTTATTTAGTGAAATCTGTATAATTTAAACTTTGCTAAAGCGATATCAATTATCATGATGACTATGAAAAATAATACAATATAATTTATTATTATATTTTATATAATGCATAATGCAGAAGCTTTTTGTCATGCAAAACTTGCTTGACAGTGTTTACAGTCACAGATCCCACGTGCTCTCTGAAACAAAGATTTACCCACGGTAGCTAACTGTGAAGGATGGTGGTGAGAATCACCGTTTAAATATCTATCTGTATGGGTCTTTTTTCTATACACAGTATGGCTCAAGGTGTTATCAGGATTCCGAATTTAGTTTCAGTTACTTTATCTAAAGGTAGAATTGTGAAAGTGTCGTCTACGTACCGCTTGTAGAATCTTGGATTTATGGGAGAAGTAAGCAGGCCTTTCTCTTCAAAGTCTTCCATGAATATGTCGGCGACAATGGGAGATACAGGTGAGCCCATCGCCTCACCATCTACTTGCTTGTAGAACTCCTTCTTCCACAATAGGTAGCCAGATGTAAGGCAGTGTCTGAGTAATACTGCATATTCTACGGGCATGTTGTTTTCTTCCAGCCTTCTAGTTACAATTGAGATGCAGTCTTCAACAGGTAAGCATGTAAACAATGACTGCACATCAAAACTGACCATAGTTTCATTGTCTGCCAGACGTAGGTCTTTAATCTCGCTGACAAAATGGTAGGAATCCTTTATGTGTGCTCTTGTATGTCCCCTGAGCGGTGAGAGTATTTTCGCTAAGTGTTGAGCCAATCTGTAAGTTGGTGAATCGATTTGGCTCACTATGGGGCGTAATGGAGCATTGGGCTTGTGTATTTTTGGTAACCCATACAACTTTGGTGATTTGGTGCACGTAGGTATTATACATTTTACGTCCAGATTTAATTTTTCGGAGTGTTTCTTTATGAGGTCACTAGTTGTTTTTACGTTTTAAGTACTTACATCCGACAAACGTGACTACCGTGACGTTTCCCTTGTCTGCGCGGAGAATCGTAAGTTGTGGTTTATTGCGTAGGTTCTTTAACGCTGTGAATTCGTCTTTGGGAAGATTTGGTTTAGGCACTGAACATCGACGTAACATAGACGAAATGTTTTGACCTATCGCCTCCAAATCTTCTTTCCGCATATTGTTTTTCAATAAACAGTCCTCGACACTACAGATAATTTCTTCGTACGGTAATCTGCGTGGAGTTATAGCATAATTGAGGCCTATGGATAAAACCTTAATTGTTGCAGCATCCAGTGTTTGTTTTGACAGATTATAGAACGCGATTAATCTATGATCTGTGTTTGTCAATGGTTGCTTTTGGTTCTGGCATTTATTCGGATGTTTGATATTTGATTTGGCCGTTAATTTTTGATATATTTCTATATGTTTGTTTTTGCATTCGTTATATTTACTAATTTTGCGTTTATTTAATGTTTCCATGCAAAAATTATAATCAAACGTCGTTAAAACTTTCTTTAATTCACTGGATGATGTGTCTGTGGATTTATTTATCTCATATAGATTGGAGCGTTTTTTTGTTGGATTACTGCCCGTAACAACTTTTACTCGC